TCTCTCTCTTTCCTTTCTTCTTTTTTTTTTTTTTTTTGTTGTTGGGGGAATTGGTCAGCTTAAATTAAATTGTGGCCATTTAGCTGAAGCAATGGGAATTCTTTTGGTTTTGTTTTTGTTTCGTAGTCGAACAGAAATGTGAAATTGGAGTTTGCGGACTATTTGCTGGATAAACAAATGAAATATTTTGTCAGACTTTGGCTCTTGCATCTCGAATAAGAGGAAGAAAACAATTTATTTTTGGTGCGAAATAATTCCGTTTTTTAAATGGGTAGATTGAATTGGTCCTTGCATTAGTGTTGGGTAACGATTTTATTTTATTTTGTATAGCGTTTGCTCTCTTTTCATTTATATTTGGGGTTCTACTCTTTCTTTCGAAATGTTGGATTTCTTGGTGTTAGTATTGGGTAACTTCCGAGGTCCGAAATTTTACCACAATTTAACTTTTTGCTTACCTTTTAGCTACATTCTCTAGCTACTTTTCGTCCTCACTCGTTGTCTTACTTAACATTGAGCCTAGGCCGGTTTCATATCTTCTCTTTGATGCTGATTTAGTATGCCTTATCTTAATTGAAGTATGCTCTATCGGAAGATAATTCTCTTTGCTTACGACGCAAACAGTTTCGCTTCAGTTTTTGTTGCTCTTCTCAGCTTGAATCAATTTGTGCTGAGGAGTTAAGCCTGCCGCATCGAATTATAATGTACATGCTCCAGATACACACACACACACACATGCACACATGCACACGCACACATACATGTTCATGCTTGTCCATTTAGATAGCTGGCAAATTTTCTGTACTTTGAGCTAATCTCATCAAATTGCGTTGCACAATTTTGTTGTTATCAACAGGCAGGACGCAGGCTGTGCAGGACCAAGTCCATTTTTATGGTCACTCAAATGCGCATAAAACTTGCCATGTGTGTGAGCGAGTCGGCGAGAGAGAGAGAGAGAGGGAGAGTGAGAGAGAGAGAGAGTGAGGAAAGCAGTCTTTGTCTGCTTTCATATTTACGAGTCTTTTACTTTTTTTTTTCTTTTCTTTCCTTTTTTTTTTTTTTTTTTTTTTTTTTTTTTTTTTTTTTTTGGTTTGTCTGCTTTGTGCTGCTGATGAAACTTTATGACGAAAATTTGCTGAATCAGAGATTGTTGGATATTATGTAAACCTTAACAGACGCCAGCCCACGTCTGCCACGCCTCACTTTATGCATGCGGGAATATCCCTAATCAGTTCACGCATTAGCCGTACTTTGTGGCGTTGCATATTCTAATTGATTCGCATACAAAATTCATTTAAAGTTTCCATTTGTCACATGTGCTGCTCAGCTCAGCTGCTCGATGTCCTGGCGCCGCCTTTGTCCTTTGCCACGCCTTGATGTCCAGCAGCTGGTGCCCCAAAACAAATTGCGAATTGATTCTTTATAGACCATTAGTTTTGATTATACAATAGAGGGAAGACGTCGCCCGAGATGTAGCTCTGGCCGGGGCTCTGCCAGCTGGGGCAGGTCCTTGTTCAGGCCAGGACATTCAATTGAACGCTTCAACGCCTATCGAACAAATTTTGTGTGTTGCCAAAAATTATGACCGCTGCCGGCCATGGCCATTATATATCCACGATATATGCTTACTCCAGCTTCCTTCCTTTCACTCTCTGTCTCTGTCTTACTCTTACTCCGTGTATAGCTGTCTCTTTCTGTTTGTGCCCATGTACATGATAAATTTGGGTTTATTTATCGGCCTGCTCGCTGCCCAGCAGACGTGAATTTCTATTTGTAGTCGAGCTTCTATACCAAAGGGTGTCGATGTGTGTGTGTTGGTGTGTGTGTGTAGCTAATGGCATGGGCTATTCAGATACATTAGGCAGAACTCCATTGGACGGCGTTGCAGCTGCTGTTCGGCCTCGGCTTAAAGTCGAACAAAATAAATTTGGAAATTGCAGAAATTCACATTGAAAAACTAAAGAGCTTAGCGGCTTAACATTAGGGCATGCCTGACTGCAGATACTCTGTTAAAATGGGATTCTAGCAATGCTTTTAAAATTTTATCGCTTTTGGCTTGAATGAGATAATTTGTTTGAAATGATTTCTATATGTAAGCCTTAAATATTTACGAGCAACAGGAAAGCATCGACTACATATACCCTGTAAAAGCAAAATTTAATTAAATTTATACAAGTGTTGTACAAGTGTTGTACTCAAAAGGAAATGTTTAACTTGACAGAACCTTTTAAAGAAGTTTCTGATATGTATGATATTAATTTGTATTTAAAATAAGATATAGAGGTAGAAAAAC